CCGCAGGCCCCACGTAGCCTGGATCTCAGCCTCCGGCCGAGCCTGGGAGCCTCCGCCAACCCTGGAACCGCTCCCGGGCTGACGGCGTCGCGGGTCCCTTCCCGCCATCTCCAGCACCTGCAGGAACTTGTCGAAGCGGACCAAGGACCCTTTCAGCTCCTGCTGCTTCTGCTCCAGCTGTGCCCAGCGGTGTTGCAGGGCCGACATGGTGGTGTGGAACTCCTGGGGGGTGCAGCTGCCCTTAATCCCTCCTGTGCACTGCGCGGGATCCTGTGGATACTCGGCCACCCAAATCCATCCGAGTCTCCCACCGCCCCAGGAGTAAGCCCAGCACCCTCCTGCTGGACATCAAACCCAGGGTCCTTGCCCTGAGCCACATCCCCAGCCCTTTTCTTTTTAAAATTAATTTTGAGATAGAATCTTGCTAAATCACTAAGTTGCCTAGGCTGGGCTCAAACTTGCCATCCTCCTGCCTCAGGCTCCCAGAGTGCTGGCATTGCAGGATCCTCACCTGGCTTCCTCCAGCCTCTTCTCACACGCTCCTCTCACTCTGTCTCCCAGCCACCTGGCCATCCGTGCTTCATCCTGGCCTTCTGTCCTTGTCCCCAGTGTCCCCTCTGCCTGCTTCTTCCTCCCCTTGTCCCCTTCCTTTCTGGATAGGCTGGCTTGTTCTTCTGTAGTCCCAAGACATCACTTCCTCCAGCAAGTCCTCCTGGACCAACCCCTTTTGGGGGCAGGGGCTTCTCTGGGCTCCCACCGCCCCTGCCCAGCGTTCCCCTCCGCAGTCACCACCTCATGCTTGTGTGTTTGCTTCTCTAGACAGGGAACCCCAAGTGGGCAGGGACCATGGTGAGACCCACAGGGCCCAGCACGGAGTAGGTGCCCGATGCACAGAAGTCATTTGCACCGACGACTTAATCACTTAATCCCATCTGACCCGTCTGGGGGAGGCTCACCTCCTTCTGGGCCTGCAGACCCCGGTCCACATCTGCCAGCTCCTGCCTCTTCTCCAATAGCCGAAGCACCGGCGGGAAGCGGTCCAGGCTCTGCTCCTGCGTCTTCCTGGAGGAGTTCAAGGCGAAGGCAGAGGTGAAGGATCCAGGAACCGTGGCTTCTGGGCTCCCTGCTAGTTCCTGGACCCCCCGCCCCGTAGCCACTTCTGGCTGGGGAATTACTTATCCTTCAACAGATGTATGTGACACATTAAAGGGGCAGTTCCAGGTGTGGTGCAGTGGAAAAGGGGGCAGCAAAGTCCCTGCCCCTCAGGAGCTGCCTCTCTGCTGATAAATAATACAGAGCTGGCCATCGTGGGGCACGCCTGTGATCCCAGCACTTGGGAGGCTGAGGCAGGAGGATTGCTGTGAGTTTGAGACCAGCCTGCACTGCATAGTGAGACCCTGTCTCAAAAATCCCAAACAATAATGATGGTGGTGGTGGTGATGGTGGTGGTGGTGATGGTGATATGTAAGGCCAGGGCACGTTGGGCACAAAGATGAAAAATGAAGCCAACTAAAGGAAGTCCGAGGAGGTGAGATGGAACAGACCTGCTGGAAGGGAGGACAGAGCAAGCCATCTGCTTGTGTGTAGGGCCGCGTCCAGGCCAGAGGACGGGAATGCCAGGCCCTCAGGGAGGGTCTGGGAGCATGAGAGGGGCAGCAGGGCCTGGGTGTCTGCACCAGGAGGACAAGGAGGGCAGCATGGAGCTGGGAGCGGAGATGCGCTGGGGTCAGACTGACCCAGGGGGAGGTGGGAGCCATGGGAGGCTTCTGAGCAGAGGCAGCCCCTCGGGCAGAGGAGCTCATGGGGTGGTGATCATGGGTGAGGTGGTCATGGGTGTGGCACGTGCAGGGGGGCTGAAGCCTTGCCGTCCATCCACCTGGGCGCTCAGGCCCAGTCCTACTCCCCAAGGGCCGGGGGAGCCGAAGGGAGTCCGTGTTTGGCTCTGGGAGGAGGGCCTCCATCTCACGGATTGGACCAAGCACGACTGTCGGGGCCCCCCAGCCCAGGCGCTCTCCAAGGATTCCGTCACGGTAGGTGCCAGCCAGGCAGGTGGTGTGCTGGGCTCTCTCCCTCGCCAGGCCTGACACCTCACGGAAGTCACTGTTCCCTGACAGCCTCACTTCCTCCCTCCCTTCTCTGAACCGAGGGTGGGAAGGGCCGGGCCACCCCACCCGCTCCCGTCCTGCACCACTCACCGCAGTTTCTCTTGCCAGGCCAGCCGGAAATATTCCTCCCAGGGCACCGCCATGGTCCCTGCAGTTGCCCCAGGCTGCAGCCCTGGAAAAGCTGGGGTTCAGCGGGGTGTGGGGGGAGACTACCGGTCCAGGATGCAGCCACCCTGCTCCAACTGCCAGAAGGCAGCGGTCCTGCAGCTCTGGTTGCCTGGGCAACCAACGACACAACATTCCCTAGCATGGCAGGGGGGGGGGCGGGGAGTGCGGGCCAGACCGGGCTTGCCGCTCTTGGTGCCTCTCCTGGTGCCCTCCCGGGGGCAAGCCCGCCCAGTGGGTGGGTCGGAGCTCCTACTGTGTCTGCATGCTCACCCACGCGAAAGGTTATTTCTTAGGGCTGTGATGTAGCTCAGGCTAGAGCGCTTGCCTAGCACATGCAAGGCCCTGGGTTCAATGCCCAGCACTGAAAAGAAAAGGATAGTCACTGGGCACCTGCTGTTTACCAGGCTGTGAGCTGTCATTCACCGCAGGGAAAGGTGCCAAGGAGGACCTACTTTGCTCCAGCCCGCGGAGAGTCCAGCCCCTCTGCTGGTGACGGCCCTGGCCGCTCTCAGAACCCCTAGTTTGGCTTGGGAAAGAGCGAGCATCAGCGCCCCCTGGTGGACATCGGCTTGGAAGACACTGGAAGGATGGGGGAGCCGGCAGATGTACCCCGGCAGCGGTTACTGAGGGTCAGCCGCGAGGCCAGCACTCTGCATGTAGCATCTAACTTAATGCAAGACAGCCCTGCGGGGTGCTAGGGAAAGTACCCAGCTCAGTGTTAAAAGCACCCGTGGGTCCTCACGTGGAGGAAGCAAACAGGAACATCTGGCCGTCTTTGCTTTATATCGTTTTAATTTCTTCATTTAAAATAATTTATTTTTCCATTTAGAGATGCATATCTTACTGTGCAATAACGTTATTTTAAAAATCTGGTTACTCGCAACGCCTACATCACTTAAAACAACTCCTAAGGAATTTGTTAGAGGAGACAGATATAGATATAATTTCCTTGTGTTAGTTTGGGACAGTCTCATGTGTAAGTGTGTAGTCTTGTGTGTGTCAGGCAGGCCTTGCACTCACTGTGTAGCCCAGGCTGGCCTTGAACTCATGGCGATCCTCCTGCCTCAGCCTCCCGAGTGCTGGGATTATAGGCGTGCGCCCCCTCACTGGCTGCTAGAGGACATTTTTAAAAAGAAAACTAAAATAATGTACTTTTTACCTTTGGGCATTTTGTATTGAATCACACATATTCTGTCTCATAGTTTTCCCTCTTCCAGAGGTATCAGGCCGGATTATATACTTTGTGGCCCATGGAGTCCGTCCTCTCTCCTTTATCAGTCTTCATCTGAGGCTTGCCAAGTTGCTACGTGCTATCAGTAGTCTGTTCGTTCTTTTTCATCGCTGAGTAGTATTTATATCATGGATCCTGTACCCAGCAGTGTGTTAATAGCATTCCCCATGTGAAGAGCAGCTGGGTGGCTTCCAGTTCTGGGGAAAAGCAAATCTCCGCGTCCAGGTCGGTGTGTGAACAGAAGTTTTCGTGTCACTTGTGTAAATATTCAGGAGTAGAATGGCTGATCATATGACAAGTGTATATTTAACTCTATAAAAACTGCAAATGGGTTTTCAAAGCAGCTGGATTTTCCTCTTTTTTTCCCCCTTGGTAGTGTACTAGGGATTGAATCCAGGGAGCACAGAGCTACATTAAGAGTCCTGTTTTGTTTTTTTTTTTCTTCTTTTTTCTTTTTTCTCAGTACGGGGATCAAATTCAGGGCCTTGTGTTTGTGAGGCAGGTGCAGTGCCACTGAGCTACATCCCCGGCCCCTATTGATTTTATTTTGAGACAAGCTTTTGTAAAGTTGCCCAGCCTGGGGTCAAACTTGCAACCCTCTGCGTCAGCCTGCTGAGTACCTGGGATTTCAGATCACTCTTAGTTTTGCAACCGTAGCTCCATGCGCCATTGAAGAAACATTATGGAGCGGTCCCGTGTGATTTCCACCCCATGTCCTGCAATGGTAGCATCTTGCACTATTGGAATGTTGGCTTGGACTCAGCCCTGGCCCGGACTCAGCCCCAGCCTGGGTCAGATTCCAGCAGCCCTATCCGTGTCCCAGCTCCACATGTGTTTGGTTCTGTGCCGTTCTGTCCTGTGCAGATTCGTGTGACCACCACAGCCAAGACACAGAATAGTTCATCTCCAGGACACTTCCTGCTCTGATCTGTGAAAGAGACTGAATTACAGCGATTCAGTTTAAGGGTATTTGGGAGGAGGGAGATGCGGGCAACTGAACTAACTTCAGTGCTTCTCTGGGAGTGGTAGCATGCATTTGCAGTCCCACCTACTTCAAGGAGGCTGAGGCAGGAGGATCGCTTGAGTCCAGGAGTTTGAGATCAGCCTGGGGAACATGGCAGGAGCCTGGGTAGGAGTCACCTGCTCGTCACTGGGACGAAATGCCCTGCAGACACAACTTAGAGGAGAGAACTTGGCTTTATAGAAAAAGAGCTTGGAGAAAGCAGAAACAATCAGGAAAAACAAAAACCAGCGGGTCATACCTAAGTTACTTTCCTTGCAAGGCAGAGAGAATGACAGGAAACTCACTGATGAGAGGATAATTTCAGGGTTGTTACTTAAGTGTAAGGCTCCAGGAAAAGGAGACTTTATCATAATGTACCTTGAAGTAGGCCCGTTTGGGAAATTTGCCTGTTACCTCTCTAACCCTAATTTCTACTAACATCAGACAAACAGCCTAATTTCAGCTTTGGCATGAGCCATGCCATTCTGATTTTTAGGCCACAGGAGCTTTACTTCAAAGCAATGACCTCCTGTGATTTTTATTTTGCATCGTTTACATCCACGCTCACCTCTTGACTCCCCTGCCTAGCGCCCGGCAGCCATTCATCTGTTCCCCATCTGTACAGTGCTGACTGGTGTATTATATAATGCCGGCACAATGGCTCATGCCTGTGATCCCAGCACTTGGGAGGCTGAGGCAGGAGGATCTCGGTGAGTTTGAGGACAACCTGGGTTACACAGCGAGATCAAGGTCAGCCTGAACAACTTAGTGAGAGCCTGTCTCAAAAAAAAAAAAAAAAAAAAACCAAGAAGAAAGAAAAAAAAAGAAGTGTTATATAAATAGGGTGGTATACTGTATAATCCTGTAAGATTTTGTTTTTATGCTCCTGGGTTCCATCCTTGTTAAACTTGGGTATCAGGGATTCGTCCCTTTTGACTGCTGAGTAGCATTCCATGGTATGGATGTACCATACTGTCCTTAATTGTTTAGGGTTAGCGCTGTCGGAGTTGTTTCTGGGTTTTGACTATTCTATTAAGGACACAGCTGCCAGGAAGAGTCATGTGCCAGGCAGGCACCAGCACCATTGAGCTAAAACCCTGGCCGTTAGATTGTGTTTTTAGTATTAAGTGTAAAGTGGGAGTTGAACTCAGGCCCTCTGGGCATAATGTTCACCCTTTTCTATCTGAGACAGGGTCTTGCTGGCTTGAACTTACAGTGAGCCTCCTGCCTCAAGTTGAATTGGGTTTGCTTGCTAAGTCCTGGGCTGAAAGCATGGTTTATTTTTGGTTGTTCTGCTCTGTTTTTGTGGTATTGGGAATTGAAGTCAGTGCCTTCACACCGAGCTACATCCCCAGCCCTTTCCCAGCCTTGCTGTGGAGTTCAGATAGCCTTGAACTCACTACGTAGTCCAGGCTGGCCTCCAATGCATGGCGATCCTCCTGCCTCAGCCTCCTGAGTGCTGAGATTACAGCTAAGTGCCACCACATCTGACTGCATGCTCAGTTCTTCAGGAAATGTCCGTCTTCCTTTCCAGAGTGGCTGCATCGTTTAACATTCTCACCAGTAACGTCTGAGTGGTCCAGCCTCCCTAATCCAAAACTTGGGAACCAAAATGCTCCAAGAAAGATTTCAGGGTCTTTCAGACTTCAGACATCCAGACTCAGACGTTTAACATAAAGGCTATGGGGATATTTCACAGCCCCACAGCCGGACACCCAAGACTTCGGCACCTAGCCTTTCGGGCGAGGGCTGCCGCAGAGATTTCTCCGCTGCGTGTTTCTGCTGTCCTTGGGGCGGCAGCAGCCCCGCGGCCAGTTTGCCTCTCTCCACCCTCAGCTGCTGCCTTGCGCCCTCCGCGGCCCCTCCCTCCCGGCCTCGGCGGCGCCTCCCCGTCCTCCCCGACCCATTTCCCTCCCCATTGCGCGCCCAGACCTCCGGACACCATCGCTCTCCCTCGTCTTTCCATTCTGTTCACACTTTAAAAAAAAGTCGCCACATTTTTAAAGCTCGCATTTTTAAGTGAGATGTAACAATGCTGTACTTTCTTTGCGGAACATGCCGTACTGTAACGCACACGTGGTGGGTGTGCAGTGGGCACGCTGGGGCGACCGCGTTGTCACCTCAGACATTTGTTTCTCGTTTTATTACCTTGCTTTCTGCCTCTGTTTCTTTCCTCTCCCTCCTCTCCCCGGCCCCGCTTCATGTTTGGTACCAGGGAGGGTCTCCAGGGCCTTGTACCTGCTGGAAAGCCCTGTCACACTGATTTAGGCCTCCAGCCCATATTTATTATTTCTTTGAGGCGAGAACATTCAGAGTCCTCTCTTCTAGCTAATTTGAAGTATGTAGTGCATTCTCTTTATTATTATTATTATTTTTTTTTTTGAGACAGAGTCTCTCTATGTAGCTCAGGCTGGCCTTGAATTCATAACAATCCTCCTGCCTCAGCCTCCCAAGCGCTGAGTAAGATTATAGGCACGTGCCACCACAACCAGCTCCCCAAAATATTATTCACTAATCACCCTCCTCCCATGCACCAGAGTGCCCAGCCTTACTCCTCTTAATGGACTGGAGTTTTGACCAATTAACCAATCCCTCTCCATCCTCCATCCTTTCCCTGTGCCTTTTCTCTGCTCCATTGACAGCTGTACTACTCCTTTGCTCTGTGGGATCAAGTTTTTTGGCTTCCAAATATAAGTGAGGACACAGTATCTGTCTCTCTTTGCCTGGATTCTTTACTTAAGCTCACCTATGTAGCTACATAAGGCAGGGCTCCATTCTTTTTAAGGGCTGTATAATATTCCACAGTGCATCAACACTAAATTTTCTTCATACAGTCACCTGTCCATAGGTGCTTAGGTGGATTCCATATCTTGGTTACTATGAACAGAACTGAATAACACGGGAGTGCAGATGTTCCTTGGACATTCTGGCTTCCCTTTCTTTGGATGTCATTCTTTTCTTTTCTTTCTTTTCTTTTTTTTTTTAGGTACTGGGGATTTATTTTGGTTTTTTTGAGGAACTCCCCAGACTATTTTCCATACCAGCTGCCCTAATTTACATTCCCACAGAAAGTGTACGAGTTCCCCTTTCTCTGCTCCTCGCCAGCATTGGTGATTTTTGTCTTTTTGGTCACAGCCATTCTGAGCAGGGTGACAGGATTTCCCATTCTGGTTCCAATTTGCATTTCTTTCTTCTTGCTGTCTTTCTCCAAAGCAAACAATTCATCTTGATGAGGCCCACTTTTCTACTTTTCCTCATATAAAGTGTGTTTTCCCCCTCTGGTACTGGGGATCGAACTCAGGCAGGCGCCAGCACCACTGAGCTAAATCCCTGGCCCTTAGATTGTGTTTTTCATCTTAAGTGTAAAGTGGGAGTTGAACTCAGGCCCTCTGGGCATAATGTTCACCCTTTTCTGTCTGAGACAGGGTCTTGCTGGCTTGAACTTACAGTGATCCTCCTGTCTCAGCTTCTCAAGTGCTGGAATTTCAGGCATGGACACAACACTCACCCTTTTACCCACAGCCCCACCCCACGGCACAGGTGAGCGTTCTGGGGTCTTCCCTCCTGCAGGCCCACTCCCCTCCTGCCCTCTCAGAGGAGGCTGGAGTGCATTTTTCCCTTCTTGACTTCTACTTTTTTTTCCTCTCTTCTGTTTTTTTCAGACAAGATCTTGAAATTTAGTTCAGGTTGGCCTTGAACTCACAACATAGCCAAGGTTGGCCTCCAGCTTGTGGCAACCCTCCTGACTAAGCCTCCTGAGTGCTGGGACTACAGGTGTGTACCAGCACAACCAACTTGATTTCTACTCATTGAGAGGAGCTTTTTAAAAAGTTTTATTGAGCACTTACTATAGGCTAGGCACTGTGGTGGATACTGAGGTGATATCAGCAGAGAGGACAAGACCTGCGTCATGGGCTTATACTCCAGTGAGAGGTCAGATGACAACCTGCGAACAAACTGACATGGTGATGGGGGTGAGGACGAGAGGTCAGAAAGAGGAGGTGGCAGGGAGGCTCCAAGGTAAGGATGCATGAGCTCAGACCTGAGGGAGGAAGAGGGCTGGGTCCAGAAGGATGGGGTGAGGCAAATGGCATGTGCAAAGGCCCTGAGGCAGGAGAACAAGTGATGTCTCAAATGCATCCTTCCTTACGGCAGAGTAGTACTCCATTGTACAAAACCCCAATCTTCTTTATCCATTCGTTGGGCTGTTTCCTAGATTCAGCTGTAACAGACTGTGCCGCTGTAAACATGGGTGTACACATAGGGCCAGGGATTTAGCTCAGTGGTGCCACTGCCGGCCTCTCAAGTACAAGGGCTTGAGTTCAATCCCTGGTACCAAAGAAACAAAAACAAACAAACATGGGAGTGCATACATCGCTGTGGTAGGATGCTCGTAATTCTTTCTGGAAGATCCCATGTGGCCTTGATTTCTTGATGGCTGTTCTCCTGCAGGAAGATGAATCTCAGTGTTATTTCAATGTGCTTTTATTTCTCTGGTGGCCGGAGACACTGAACATTTGGCGTTGGTCTGTGCAGACAGCGCTCCACCGGCCCTGCCCCGGGCTTGCTCCAGACCAAGGAGAAAGTGGCTACACAGCCCGCTCGTCCCGGCAGCCTCGGTCTTCCGCTCCGCTGAACCGGTCGTTCCTGCCCCCCTGCCAGACTGGCTCCCAGCCCGGCCTGCTCCGTCCCCACTGCCTGGGCAGGCTCAGCAGGGCACCTCCCTCGCTGGCCTCGCCCCGCAGCTCTGGAAACACCGCCTTCCCCCAACCTCGACTCAGTGGCTTCCTCTTTTCCACTTTTCCATTCCAGCGCCGGGCGCGGGTGCTTGGGAGCCCCGTGGAGGAAGGAGGAAGCCGCTGCCCACGGAGAAAGGACACCTTGGTTTTGCACCCGGCTCTGCTCCCTGGGCAGCCGGCTGCAGCAGGAGGTTGGGAAATCCTGCCGCTCCCCCCACCCCCCGCGCCTCCTGTCTCCCGTGGCTGCCTGCCCGGAATCGCGCCGGCCGTCACAACGGGGCTTTGTGTTCCTCACCTTCAGCCCGAGCCAGGGACCTGTCCGCCTCGCCCCGCAGGGACGGTCGCTTCCATAGCTGAGGGCTCGCGACGGACAGCTCTGGCCCCCGGGCGGGGCTGGAGGGCACAGGGCGGGTGAGGAGTCAGCCCCCATCTCTGGCGCCGAGGGGCAGGGGAAGCAGCGACACCGACTGGACTCCGAGGTGGCGGAGAGGCTGGGACCCGGCTGAGGGAACCGAATCCCGCTCAACTCGCAAGTCTTGTGCCAGGCGGTGTGGGAGGCACGAATGAATCCGACATTGTCCCTGACATTTAGGAGATAGGATGAGCCTGTCAACCACCAGGGAACGAGGGAAGAGGAGACCAAGGTCACAGCGCTGTAAAGGGGCGAGGAGACAGCTGGAAGGCAGAGAGGTGGTTCTTTCAGGGCCTGCGGGTTATTTTCTGACTTCCTTTTCTTTTCCTTTTTTGGTGGCGGTGGTGGGGCAAGATCTATGTCCTCTAGGCTGGCCCCAAACTTCTAGGCTCAAGCAAGCCTCCTGCCTCAGCCTCCCAAGTAGCTGGCAGACAAGTGCGACACACCTAACTGGGGATGATTTTCTGATTTTTAAAAAAGCACTTGGCATCTCGTCTCGGGAAACACGCAGTCCCCCAGCGCACGCCCTGCTTTATCGTCAGCACAGCACCACCTCCTCCTCCCTGGGAGGACAGCATTGCGCCGTGTGTTCCTTTAGTCTCTCCCCTTCTTCTGCCAAGAGCCCCAGGAGACCCGGGCTGGGCCGTCGCCTAACCGCGTCCCCACGGCCCAGGCCATAGCAGGTGCTCGGAACACACTTGTTAAATATCAGCACGTTAAACAGACGCACACACCATATTTTGTGGTATCGAGATCATATTGTACATAAGGCTGAATGTGCTGTTTTATCCTTACCACTTATGTTTTTCCGTGTTTTCCTGCTATTAAGGATTCTTTGAGGGCCAGCATGTTGCTTAGGGGTAGAGGGCTTGCCTGGCGCTGCTCGAGGTCAATCCCCAGCACTGCAAAATAAATAAACAGACACACTTTCAGGCAGTCCTTTCTGATGGCCACCCGATAGTCCATTTTAGCCCTCCTCTCAGAACACTTATTCCAGGCCCTGCCTCTCAGGATGAGGAGCCCTTTCTAGTACTTTCAGGCCTCAGCTGAAGGGAGGGCCCGCCAGCCCCTGGCAGTGAGGCCCTGGGGGCGGCTGGAACCCTGCCCTAGGGATTTCTCCATCAGAATTCTCAGCTGGGACCCAAACCCCCAGATCCCCCAGTTCTGCCATCCGGGCCACACTGGCCACCCGAGTGGGTCGCTCCGTTCAGCCATCCCGGGAGCTGGGGCTGGGCCCGGGGCGCCCCCCAGTGTGGAGTCCGACACCTCTCGCGGGCTGAGACCCTCCTTCCCACTTGCTGAACAAACGCCGTTTACTTTTCTCTCAGTCACTCGCGTTCCCCCCCAGAGCGCCATGGAGCCCCATTTCCACACGAGGACACTGAGGCCCCACGGGTGAGTCACGGAGCAGAGAACGCGGTGTCGGAAATCAGTCCCAGGCCAGCCTGACCCTGAGCCTCTGCTCCTAGACCCTGAGCTCGGCACCCCCTCCTTGGGGCTTTATGGGGCGCGCTGCTTGCAGCCCTGTGCGGAGACTGAGACGGCAGAGCCGGCCGGAAGATGACTGTGGGCTTTGCCCTTAAGGAACTCGGGGCAGAGCCTGACTTCTTCAGCATCAACTATGTGCCGGGAACACCAGGTGCCTGCACTGCCCGAGATTGGTTCTCATAACAACACTGGGGGATCACGAGCTCCCCTCCCACTTCCTGGCTGGGGGCCCCCAGCAGCCTCTCAGGTCTCCTGGCAGGGGCTGTCCTAGAAAAACCCCACCCACTGCTAGTTCCAAGTCAAAACCTCTATAACAGGAAGCGGCCAGGCTATGTGGAAAATTTAGGGAGTGGGGCCACTGCCCCAGGTGTATCGCGGGGTCAGACTGCAAGATGGGGCAGGTGACAGAGCTGGCTCCCTGGAGGCCTGGCCGGCAGCTGTGGCCCTGGCCATTCCCCCAGGGGCTGGGGAGGGGACTTCCTGCTTAGCTCTGGAAGAGAGCCAGGTGGCAGTTTGGTTGGCGTCCAAGGGCCCGGGGGCCAGGCCATCAGGTCCCCAGGGGCCTGGGGCGCTGGATCCCTGTCTGAGCCCTCTGAAGCCTCCTGGGAGAAAAAGCTTCAGCCAGAAGCTTCTGCCCTCACTGGGGAGGGGTGACACAAGCCCTGTCTGGTTTCCTCCTGGACTGGACATTTATTTTTCTGTTGTTGTTTTAATTTATTTATTTTTCGTTGTTGTTTTTAGGTCACGTCGCTATGTAGTTCAGGCTGGCCCTGAACTCTCGGTGATCCTCCTGCCTCAGCCTCCTCAGTGCTGAGATGACAGATGTGCTCCATCAGCTTGGCTATATTCTGGGGAATGCGGGGGGGCGGCTACCACTGTCCTGGGTCTGATGTGGGCCATCGCGAACACCCCTGGCAATGCTTCTAAAGCCTGAGACTGGCCTGCTGGGCCCACTTCCTGGGTGGGGCCAATGAGGCTGACCCCGGCCCTGGCTGTTGCCGGGAGCAGCTGGGAGAGAACTCCAGGGCTCAGAGTAGCCCGGGCCTGGCCTGGGAGCCAGGAGGGTTTTGGAAGCCGGTCATTAGGTTGTTCCTGTGGCAGGGCAGGATGCTCCAGTCTTGCTGGTCAGGGCGTCGTCCACCAGGCTTGTCACTGCCCAGCCCTGCCGGGAGAAGCGACTGTGTACCGGTGCGACCCTGGCAGGGCCCTCCTGCTCACGTTCTCTCATTTAAAACGTGAACAGCGCACACACTTAGAGACACGGGCACAGGAAAGAGCACAGTCGTGTCTGGGGTGGGGGTGCGTCCTGAGAGGCTTTCCAGGAGAGGTGCCGCTTAGGCCCAGGCCCATCACAAAATCAGTCTCCGAAACCTCATCCGGTACCCCCCTGCACTCCATCCTGCGATTCCAGACTCTGCCAGAGCAGCCAGGCCGCCCCCACAGCACACACGAGGAAGCCAAGCCAAGCCAAGGCACAGAGAGGTTAAGGGCCCTGCCGCAGACCACACAGCCAGTCAGAACCAGGCAACCGGCACTAACTGTCACTCGGCCTCTCTGAACCTCAGTTTCTTGATCCACAAA